GGGCTCCGCAGCCTTCTCAGAGCGTCCTGGACGCTCTGAGAGCAGATCAATCCTCGTGCCAGCCCGCTCCGAAGAAGGCAGACGAAGGGGAGAGAAAAGGAGGGGGGGGATAGCCAGGGAGGGAAGCGGAGGAAAGGAGAGGGAAGCGGGGGAGAAGGACGCCGGATTCGTCTCGCACTTGGCCTAAGTCGGCCTCACTGTCTTGTTTGGCCAGGACGCAACTAGCAACGTACTTCATGTTCGATCCCCAAAGAACGCAAGTGGGAGGGGTGAGGGCTGAGGGAGGGTGAGGGGCAACGATAGAGGGGGACTGGCATAGGGGAGCGATGCATCGACCTGGAATGGGCGATACCTCACCCATAGATCGGCGATAGGCCTCCGATAGCGAATCCGCACCTTCATGGGCCGCTTGGGGCTATCGGGCCCCTATCGGCGATCAGTGGGCGATTGCGGGTCGATGCATCCCCCCTATTGAAGGGGCCCTGGGACGCACAAATAAATACACACAAAAAAAAGATCCCCCTATATTTTCCCATATTTTCTGGATTTTTGTCTTCCCCCCCACTTCCCATATTTTCCCATATCTTCCTGGGAGTGGACGATTAATTGTGTTTGTGTGTGTTTTGCCCCTCCTGACCTATGCCTATCCCCCCCTATTGTTGCCCCCGAGAGGGGCCCTCCTCGGGTGACGCCCTGTGGCCAGCAGCACAGCACCGGCCACGGTGGCTCTGGGCCCGCCGCGAGGGGAGACGCAGGCGCTGCAGGGCTAATCTGCGCGCGCGCCCACCGCGCGCCCCCCCCCCTCCTCCTCTTCCTCCTCCTCCCTCCCTCCCTCCCTCCCTCCCTCCCCCCCGCCCGCCCGCCCGCCCGCCCGCCCGCCCGCCCGCCCGCCCGCCCGCCCCCGCCCGCCCGCCGCCCGCCCGCCCGCCGCCCGCGCCCGCCCGCCCGCCCGCCCGCCCTCCCGCCCGCCCTCCCGCCCGCCCGCCGCCCGCCCGCCCGCCCGCCCGCCCCCCGCCCGCCGCCCGCCCGCCCGCCCGCCCGACGACGACGACGACGCACAGCTGCGCGGCAGCTGGGCGTCGAGGCACCAGCTCGGCTACCGGGGGCCGCTCGCCTCACTTGCCGCCCTTGCCCCGGTAGCCCTTCCCGCCGCCCTTGCCTCTGCCAGGGTCGACCAGGTTGGCCGCCAGGTCGTGCTCCACCCCGAGCGCCAGCAGCGCGTGCAGCAGCGCTCTCGGGAAGTGGGCGATCGGCTCCCCCTGCTCGGCGCCCGAGGCCTCCGCCGTGTAGCCGGTCGCTGGGCGGCGGACCGCCCTGGCGGAGTCCGCCTGCAACGCCAGCCTCCTCCGGGTCAACTCGCCGGCTTCGTTGCGGAGGCGCTCCGCCTCGAGGCGATCGTCCTCAGCGCGCCCGCCAGGCGTCGAGGCACTGGCTGCGATGAGGAGCCTCGCGGCCTCCCTCTTCAGAAAGCTCGGGCGTTCCCGCGCCGGGTCGGGCGCGTCCCTGCGCCGCGCGCCGGGGGCAGCCGCGTCGAGCGGCGGGAGGTCGACCGCCTGCAGGTCGCATTCGAGAGAGCTCTCACTTCACACTATCTCTCGCCGAGCGTCGAGGCTCCGGCCCTCCTCAGAGACATCAGCCCATGCCCCCCATCCCCCTCAGAGGTCCTGGAGAACCGAAATCCCACCAGCCCTCTGGGCGTAGGTGGTCTAGGGAGTTTCTCCTTCCAGTCCCCTAACCCCCCCCTCGGGGATCGATGCATCCCTCCCCCGTACCTCCACCCCCGGGGCCTGGGCGAGGGCCGAGACCGTTCCAGGAGAGCTTCAGGGAGCCCGAAATTTTCTCCACGATGGCTCCAGCCAGCCCCTGATGCCCCCACATGGCCCCCAAGATGCCCCCAGAAACCCCGTGAACGCTCAGAGGCGGTCCGAGAGGTGTCCCAAATTTCCAAGGGAGGCCCACCAAACGCCAAAAACCTTCACAAACATATGACAATTCGTTGCTTGTTGCATTCTCGGCTCTTCGCTTCCGATGATTGTCTGAAGCCTTGAGCGAGCTCCCAGAGGGCCCAAGAGGGCCCCCGCAAACGCCCAACAGAGCCCCAAGACGGCCCCAAGAGCGCCAAAGGGGATCCAGGACGGGTCCACGAGACGATGCCTGGGGCTTCTCAAAGGGGGGATTCAGACCCCCCTCTTCTCCCATCGATATCCTCCAAAATGGCACCCAGAGAACGCTCCGCAGGCTCCCGAGAGCGCCCCAAGATGGCCCCGCGATGCGCCCTGGCGGCCCCGAGAGGCACCCGAGGAGCCCCCCAGAAACCCCCGAGAATCCCCCAAGCGGCCTGGGCGGCCCCGAGAAGCACCCGAGAAGCTCCCAAGAGGCACCCAATTACTTCTCCCTCTGCCCCCTTGTCCCCCTTTTCCTTCTCCTCCTCCTCCTCCTCCTCCTCCTCCCCCTCCTCCTCCTCCTCCTCCTCCTCCTCCTCCTCCTCCTTCTCCTCCTCCTCCTCCCCCTTCCGGCCCCTCCGCCCTTCTCCCCCCTCCCCCGCCCCCTCCTCTTCCCCCTTCCACCTCCGTTCTCCTCCCTTCCTCCCTCTCCTTCCTCCTCCTTCTACTCCTCGTCCTCGTCCTCGTCCCCCCTCTCTTCCCCCTCACCTCCTCCTCCTCCTCCTCCTCTTCCTCTTCTTCCTCCTCCTCTCCCTCCTCCTCCTCCTCCTCCCCCTGTCCTGCCTCATACACGCAGTCCTCGTGTGAACGATGCGAGCCGTCCCCCTCTTTGCCCCTATACTTCCCTGATCGTATCAAGTATCCGGGTCGTCCCAGATGGGCGGGGGGATGCGATGCTTCCCAATCTTCTCGATTGCGGCCTGGAGTCGCCTGCCGACGGCGTCGTTGTAGGCGTCCACGAACTCGGCCGGGCAGCCGCCCGTCTGGATGAGCACGTTGAACCATACCTCCCCGCCGAAGGTGCGGTCGCAATGGGTCTTGCATATGGGCCTCGCCGCGCGGCTTATCACGGGGGGCCCCGACGGGGCCGCGAGTGCGACTGGCTGCCACCCGCCAGCGCGCCTGTCCTGGACGTGGAGCCAGTAGTAGCCATCCGGTGACTGCGACCATTCCTGGAAATCCGCCACCGTGCCCCTGGCGCGTTGAGGCGTGCTGGAATGCCAGGTGCTGCCTGGTTTCTGCAATCTTCTGAGGGAGCCCCCCCCCCGCCGCGCGTCCAGCTGCATGGATCGCCCCCCCTTCCCGAGGCTCTGTCGGCGCCCAGACACGCTCATGGCGCTCTCCAACGCCTCCAAGACGGCCAACATGGCTACTAAGACGGACCTGGGAGGTCACCACAGACGCAAAGAGGGGCCCAGATGCCTCCATCACTGCCTGAGAGGCCCAAAAGAAGCCCCAAGAGCGCTCCAAGACGACCCCGTTGAGGGCCCAAGGAGGCAAAATTCATTGAATTCCATGGTGTTGTCCACTGTTGTTCAAGAGCTTCCGGCGCTCCAGGGCGGCCCCCGGGGCCCCAACGACCGCCCCATGTCGGCCCACGAGGCCTCCAAGAGTGCCCCAAGACGGCCCAAGAGCGGCTCAGAACGGCCCAAGAGGCGCCCAAGACAGCCCAAGAGAGCCCCAAGACGGCCCCAAAAGGGGCCCAAGAGTGGGACCACGACCCGAAATTTCGAGCTTACCGCCCGGAGAGGCCCCCAGGAGGCAGGCCTCCAAGAAACCCCAGCAGGCTCCCAAGAAGTCTCCAGTAGACCTGGAAGAGGCCCCCAGACGGCCCCCAGGAGGCCCCCAGAGGCCTTCAAGAAGCCCCGAAGAGGCCCCCAAGAGGCCACCAGGAGGCCCCCGAGAGGGTTCAAAGATGTCTCCATCAGGCCCCCAGGAGGCCTCCCGCGATATCCTCGCGATCATCATCGTCATCATCATCATCATCATCGTCGTCGCAGTCCTCACCGTCATCATCATCATCATCACCATCATCATCATCATCATCGTCGCCGTCGTCATCGTCATCATCACCAGCATCATCATCATCACCAGCATCATCATCAGCGCCATCAGCATCATCATCGTCGTCATCATCATAACCATAAGCACCATCGTCACCATCGTCGTCGTCGTCATCATCATCATCATCATCATCAGCATCACCATCATCATCAGCATCATCATCATCATCGCTCTCATGTTGATCATCTCTCGCGAAGGCGGCCTCTGGAGCCCCCGTCGAACGAGAACCGCCGAGCATGCTGGAGTGGCACGGTGGCGGGACTTGCCGCAAGCAGCTGGATAGAAGTACTTGCTCCTCCTCGCCAGCGCGGCGTCGAAGACCACATAGCGACAGCCGTCGGCGGCTCGAGGCGCAACAATGGCTCGGCCTGCGCCGATGACGGACTTGAGCGCCTCCCCGGGCGTCGAGGCATCAACTCCAAGCTCGCGGGCCTCGGCCTTCGCCGCCTCGACGCGCGCGCGGAGCACGCGCTCGATAATGGGCGCCCTCTCCCCGGGAGAGAGCACCGGGTAGCACCTCAGAGAGCCCGCTCTCTGCTCGACGACCAGGTGGGACATCAGCGCCTGACGTCGCCGGGGGCACACGGCGGCCGACGCGCCAGCTGCGGCCTCTGAGTCCTGGGAGGACGCAGGGCCGAAGTGGGCCGCTCCTACGACGGCGGCCTCGCGCTCCTCCGCCTCGGCCCCGTCGAGCGCGTCGAGAGGCTCCGCGATGGCGTCGAGGGTGCCCGCGATGGCGTCGGCCGTCGGGACGCTGCCGACATTGCCTGCCACCTCGTCGGGGGACCAGTCGCAGGCCTCGCCTTCCTGGCGCGCCGACCCCGCTGGAGAGGTATCGGAGATCTCCCTGGCGGGCGACGGGGGGCGGCTCTCGGAGATCTCACTGGCGGGGGACGGGTCCGGGCTGTCGGGCTGGGTCGGAGATCCGCTGGTGTCGGGTCGGGCGCAAGGGGGGGATAGCAAAGAGGGGGTTTGATGAATCAGCTCACGTAGCTGATTTTCCCGGCGCCTCCCGGCGCCGGAGGCGGCTATGTATCGAGGAATGGGCTCCTCGGTGAGGCCGAAACCAGCTGCATGCAGCAAATTCCGCAACCCCCCCTTTCCCAAACCCCCCCTTTCGCCCGACCCGATGGTGGGAGACGGGCTGCGATCGCCGGGCATCGAGGCACCGGCGTTGCCTGTCGACTCGGCCTCCTCGGCGCGGGCCGGCTCCAGGCGCCGCGCGTCCTCGGCGCGCTCCGCCGCGGCCCTCCCGGCCTCGGCGCAGGCTGCTCGCGAGGAGGCGCGCCGCACGGCGGAGGCCATAGCTTGCCATCGCTCCACGCTTCGGCAGCGCGGCTCCCCACGCGGCGGCGGCAAGGGGGACCCCTCCTCCATCGCCCCCGCCGCCTCGTCCTCTCTGCGCGGGGCGTCCTCTCTGCGGTTTGACCTGCCAGTGCGAGCCGCTTTACTGCGCGGCTCCTGCTCCTGGGCGGCCTGCGGCCGCGACCCCTGCAGGCTGCCTGCCGCGGCCCCGCGGCCCTCCCGCGCCTGCGGCCGCCACCATTGCCATGGTTGCGGCGACCTGCGCCCCGAGAGCGGCCGATCCATAGCCACGCGCCCGGCCGAGCCCTGCCAGGCGACCGAATGGCTCGAGCCCGACTTGGTTGCGCAGAGGAGTCGTGGATCCATGGCCTCCTGGCCGCCACGGCCGGATCCGCCTGGAAGTCCTGGCTGGAGCGCGCCCCTGGACCCTAGCCCCCGCAGTCGCGATTTTTCCACGACGCGGGCCCCCAGAAGTCCTGACCTTTTCCCCAGGACCGGCTTCTCATCCTGAGTCGTTTTTTTGACGGCCCCGGGGCCCGCGGAGGGCCCCGCCGGAGCCCGAAAATGGCCGACAAAATGAGCCCCACACAATGCCCCACTGACAAGGTCCGCATGCGATTCCAGGTTTTGACCACGCACAGGTTTTGACCACGCACGCGAGAAAGAGAAACAGAGAGGGAAAGGTGGGGTGTGGACTCTGGGATCTTAAGCCGGCCCTTCATGCTCCGATGAAGGGGCTCGGGGTCCGCGCGTAAGGGAAACAGGCGGCCACCACAAGCATCGACGACGACGACGACGACGACGACGACGACGGACGCAGACGGCGACGACAGCGACATTACGACAGCAATGAGGGGGGAAATAACACTGAATCCCACCAGACCTCTGGGCGTAGGTGGTCTAGAGCGGTTTCTCTTCCAACCCCATTCTTTCCCTTCGGGGAGCAGTTTAGGTTTCCCCCTGCCCCGTGCCCTGGACCTGGAGGGGGGTCGCGAGGCGTTGGAGCGTCCAAGATGGCCAAAGATGGCTCCAATGGGCCAATAGGGCCTCAGAAAGCCCAAGATGACCTCCAAGATGGCTCAAGAGAGCCTAAGATGGCTCCAGATGGCTAACAAGATGCCCCTAGAGGCCCCAGACCACTCCAAGACGACTCCGAGTGGCCACGGAGCCTCCCCTGGAGGCCGCCAAGAGGCCAACATCCTTCAAACACCGAAGGAAAATCAATGAATTGAACATTCTCGCCATTTCGCTTCTGACAGCCTTCCGAGGCCTCAAGGCAGCTTCAAGAGGGCCCAAGAGAGCCCCAAGGGAGGCCCAAGAGAGCCCCAAGACGGCCCCAAGAACACCCCAGAGCGCCCCAAGAGCTCCAAGACTGGCCCAAGAGGCGGTGTTTGGGGCCTCCGAGGTGGGAAGCAAATTAAGCACCGCCCCTTATTTGCTCGAGTTCTTCCAAGATGGCCCCAAGAGCGCTCCCAAGGCTCCCAACACCGCCTCAAGAGGGCCCCCAGAGGCGCCCATGAGGCCACAAGAGGCGCCCAAGAGGCCTCCAAGAGGCTCCCCAGAGACCCCCAAGAGGCTCCAAGAGGCTGCCCGAGGCACCCAAGAATGCCCCACGAGAGACCCTTCCTCTATGTGCTGCCCAAGTCCCTGATCGAAGCGACTCCTCTTGGCATCGCCTGTGGATGGGCATGGTGGGGTTATTTTTTTGTTCGGCGGCCCGCAAGGAGAAGTCCAGAGGGCGTGTCAATCAGGCAAACTGGGGCACAGAGCCAGATAATTCGTGCACATGCAAAACAAATTGGGGAAAACGAGCAGACGAGCTGCGCGTGGCGACGCTGCACCCGCACAGGGACGCCAGGCGCCGAGCCGGGCGACGGGAACACGGCGAGGGAGGAGGAGCGAGGCGACGGAAGAACGAAGGAGGGGGGGAAACGCGGGTGGTCTCACTCACGGAGCACCATGTGCTCGCCGGCGAGCCGACAGGGTCCAGTCACAGGTGGACATCACATCACCGTGCCCAGTGTCAGAAGAAATGGTGGGGTTACGCGAATCGTCAAGGAAAAACAAAAACCTTCGAAGGTCCGCGCGCATGACTGGGATCGGCGCTGGACTGAGGGGCAACGAAAGGGGGGGGGACTGGCATAGGGAGGGGGGACATCGACCTGGAATCGGCGATACATCGCCGATGGATCGGCGATAGGCCTCCGACAGTGGGATCCCCACGTTCCTGGGTGGGGTGGGGCTGTCGGGCCCCCATCGGCGATGAATGGACGATTGGCGGTCGATGCGTGCCCCCCCCCTATGCCCATCCCCAGACATCCGGCTGCTCGAGTCTCCTGGAAGCATGGGCCCCGGAGGTCTGGACCACTTCCCCAGGGCCGGTTCTTCGCCCGGAGTCGCTTCCTGACGCCACCAAGGCCCGGAGAGAGGGCCACTGGAGGCAGAAGCGGTCCAGAAAACGACCGCTCGATTTGATTTGGGGGGGGAGCGCCGGACGCCCTGACACCCCCGATGGAACCTCCTCCCTGGCGCGCGGAAGCGCGCACGGGAGCGAGGCAGGAAGGAGGCGCGCGCAGTCCCAGGGGGGGTGGGGTGCTAGCACCGATCCGCCGACCCGGGACACCCGCGCGGCGGTCCCCAGACGTTTGCGTGTCTTGGCGCCGTGCTCTTCTTCGAACGGGAGGGCTGGGAGGAGTAAGACGAAGCCAAGACGAGGATAAGATGGGGTGAGGATAAATCGGGAACCTCTGAGATCCGGCGGCTCTGGGGGATGTCTCAGGCGCCGCGGCCTTCTCAGAGCGTTCTGGAACGGATTTATCCTCGTTCTCAGAACGTTCTGGGACGGCAACGGCGCGGCCTGGGCATGGCAACGGCTCGGCCTGGGCATGGCAACGGCACGGCCTGGGCATGGCAACGGCACGGCCTGGGCATGGCAACGGCACGGCCTGGGCATGGCAACGGCGCGGCCTGGGCATGGCAACGGCACGGCCTGGGCATGGCAACGGCACGGCCTGGGCATGGCAACGGCACGGCCTGGGCACGGCGACGGCGCGGCCTGGGCATGGCAACGGCCCGGCCTGGGCATGGCAACGGGCACGGCCTGGGCATGGCAACGGCACGGCCTGGGCATGGCAACGGCACGGCCTGGGCATGGCAACGGCACGGCCTGGGCATGGCAAAAGCACGGCCTGGGCATGGCAACAGCACGGCCTGGGCATGGCAACGGCACGGCCTGGGCATGGCAACGACGCGGCCTGGGCATGGCAACGGCGCTGGCGTGGGCATGGCAACGGCACGGCCCTAGGCATGGCAACGGCACGGCCTGGGCATGGCAACGGCACGGCCTGGGCATGGCAACGGCACGGCCTGGGCATGGCAACGGCACGCGGGGCGCCGCAACATCCGCAGGGGCGCCTGGAGGCGCTGGCGTCGGAATCGGGGCGGCGGGCGCTGGAGGTTCCTCGGGGCGAGGGCCCTTCGCGGCGGCCTTGGCGACCTTCGCGGGCGGCGGAAGCGCGGCCGAGGCGTCGTCGGGAGCCTTGCGGCGGGAGTCCATCGCGGAGCAGGAATACTGCGCAGCGATCTTCGCGGTGCTCTGGGCGGGCCTGGGATCCAGAACGGCTGCGGCAATCCGACCGCGCCGCGCGGCAAGTGAGCGGCAGCAGCGCGGCATGGCGTCCGCGAGGGCGCTGCGTCGCAGCACCGCGGCAACATCGTGGAAACATCGCGGCGACTGCGCGGCACGCGCACGGCGACAGAACGGCAACGGCATGGCAAGAGCATGGCGCCAGCATGGCAATGGCATGGCCATAGCGTGGCAACAGCACGGCAACAGCGTGGCAACTGCGCGGCAACTGCTGGGCAGTAGCGCGGCGCATGCGAGGCAACGGCCGGGCGGCGGCAAGGCGCTTGCTCGGCGACAGCGCTGAGATGGCGCTGGAGCGGCGCGATGACAGCTCGGGGAAAGCATGGCAACAGCGCGGCTCTCGCGCGACGCTGGCGCCGCACGCCGACGCTGCGGCGACTGCTGGCCATAGGACGGCAGCAGCGTGGCAAGAGCATGGCGTCGGCACGGCTGCAGCACGGCAGTAGCAAGACGGAGGCGCGGACTCGCGCAAGTCAAGGGTGTATTTTTTGAGGAACTGTCTGAAAATTTACACCTCTGACTTGCGCAAGTCAGGGGTGTATTTTTTCAGCAAGTTCTTGAAAAATTACATCCCTGACTTGCGCAAGTCAGGGGTGTAATTTTTCAAGAACTTGCTGAAAAAATACACCCCTGACTTGCGCAAGCCGGCGCCTTCCCGAGAGGACCTTCCCAGATCGCCCCAGGAGTCATCCCGCACGTCGTCCCGCACTGTGGTTGCGATGGAACGGCGATGGCATGGCGACGGCACGGCGATAGCCATGGCATGGCAGAAGTGCGGCCACCGCGTGGCGACGGCATGGCTCAGGCATGGCGACAGCGTGGCCGCGGCAGGGTCACGGCGCGGCATCAGCGCGGCCATGGCGCGGGAACGGCATTGCAACAGCCTGGCATCAGCATGGCAGCAGCATGGCGACATCACGGCAGCAGCATGGGATCGGCACGGCAACGGCGCGGCAACAGCGCGGCAAAAGCAAGGCCAGAGCATGGCAAGAGCATGGCAACAGCTCGGCAAGAGCATGCAGACAGCACGGCAACGGCGCGGCAACGGCGTGGAATCGGCGCGGCAATGTCTGGCTACAGCGCGGCAGCAGCATGACAGCAGCATGGCGGAAGCATGGCAGCAGAAAAGCAAAAGCATGGCACCAGCATGTCAGCAGCACGGAGACAGCATGGCGACGGCATGGGAACGGCACGGCGACAGCACGGCAGCAGCGCGGGCACAGCATGGCAGCAGCTGGGCAACCGCTCGGCAGCAACATGGCAACATCATGGCAACAACGTGGCAACTGCATGGCAGAGGCACGGCAACATGCATGGCAACAACGCGGCCAGGGCATGGCAACAGCATGGCATGCGCATGGCAATAGCATGGCAGCGGCATGGCAAGAGCATGGCACTAGCATGGCAGCAGCTCGGACGCAGCATGGCACCGGCATGGCGACGGCAAGGCACCAGCATGGGAACTGCAATTGATCAGCATGGCAGCGGCGCGGCGCCCGCATGGCAACAACGTGGCGACACAATGGCCACCGTCCAACAATCGCATGGCAATGGCGGGGACAACGTCACGGAAACCGCGAGGCAACAGCGCGGCGACGGCGCAGCAGCGGAAAAAAAAACAACTGCGCTGCTACATCGCATCCCTGCTCCTCCCCCTCCTCGTGCCGCATCCCTGCTCCTCCCTCTCCCCCCTCCTCCCCCTCCTCCGTCACCGTTTGCCCCCTCCTCTTCAAGATTTTTCCTTCGCGGACGCGGACCCTGCGCGGGTCGAATCGCTCGGGGAATCTCTCGCAAGACGCGGCTGGAGGCGCTCGAAAGAAAATCATCGGAGCCGACTCCCTG